AGAGTGCTTCCACACTAGCAGCTCTTGCATCGATACAGAGGGCAGTGCACTCTGCTATCCCACTGTGCAACTGGCTGCAGGGTTCTTTGAGAAGGGTTTGCAGTGCCTCATGGGGCAGGCACAGCATCACATGATGCAGGTTTCTCAATCCCATCATTCCATGGGCATCCTAGTAGATTGTCAGCCGTTTTTCAACTGAACTGGGGGGGAGAGAGAGGAGAGTAGTTTGTGTGGGGGAGACAGCAGGCTGATCCTAAGGCAAGGGGAGGGGGGACACCACCCACACATCAACCCCCCGTCTCTGATCAGCACAGCAGTCTCTCCCACCTCTCACTCCCCAGCAGAAGTAGCTCGCTCTGCCTGCCTGCCTATGGTTCTATGATTCCCTCAGAGTTCTCCCACGGCATCCCGAGCAGCTCTGTGAGTTCTCAGTGCTGAGGAATGTCAAAGCAGCAAGGCAGTAGTTCCCCTCACTCCCCACTGCCTGCAGCTGTGTTCTAGTACAGGGCAGAACAGGAGCATTCCACATTAATTATTTGCTCTTTGTTGCAGGAACATAGCAGCAAGATCAGCTGTTAGATACTTCCCAGAGCTTTGAAAGGGGAGGGGCGCATGCCTGCAGGGCAGCAGAGATCAAAACAGTGAGCAGAGCGGTCATGGCGGGCATTGTGGGATGCTGGTGGAAGCCAGATATGTTGACAAAACAAACAGCAGCGTCTACACTGACACTTTGATGCTTTAACTTTGCCGCAAAAAGCTTTATGCCTCTCGCTGAGGTGGTCTTATTTTGAAGGCAAAACAGAAGAGTTTTGCCGCCAAAAGTAGCTTTGCAGCGTGTACACCTCCCCTGTTTCGTCAGCAAAAGGCAGCTTTTGCCGAAAAAAACTTTGTAGTGTGGACAAGGCCTTAGAGAGATGTCATCAGGCCAGGGGCGGATTAACAAATTTGCCGCCCCTAGGCCGTCAAAAAATTGCTGCCCCCCCCCCTCCGCTCCCCCGCGGCAAGCCGGGGAGGGAGGGGGAAGAAGGGAAGTTGTGGTGCGCTCGGGGGATGGCGGCAGTGGAGCAGGGGTGAGCTGGGGTGAGCTGGGGCAGGGAGTGGTTCCCTGCCCCCCCCCAAGAGTTACTCCCCATGCCCGCTGGCCCCAGCTCACCTCCACTATCCCCCGAACATGCCGCTACTCGCTTCTCCCTCCCTCCCAGCGCTTTCATGCGGCAAGCCTGGGAGGGGGGAGAAGGGGAGTTGCGGCGCGCTCGGGGGATGGCGGTGGCAGTGGAGCAGAGGTGGGCCGGGGAGCGGTTCCCAGCTCCCCGTTACTCCCCACACCCACGGGCCCTGGCTCACCTCTGCTCCGCCTCCTCCGAACGCGCTGCAACTTGCTTGTCCCTCCCTCCCAGCGTGGCAAGCCTGGGAGGGAGGTGGAAGGAGGGAAGCGCAGTGTGCCTGGGGGAGGAGGCAGGCCGGGGATTTGGGGAAGGGTGGAGTTGGGGAGGGGGAAAGAGCAAATTTGCCGCCCCAGCAAATTTGCCACCAGGCGATAATACGCCGCTGCATCAGGCCCTGCTGACTTGAAGACTTTTAACTTGTCTAAGTAATTTTGAACTTGTTTTTTCCCTATTTTAGCCTCAGATCCTACTTTCAATGGCATTCACTATGTTAAACATGCAATCGCTACTCACCATTTGGTGAAAACTGAAACAAAAACGGCATTTAGCATTTCCACATGTTTTGTTAGTGTCTCCCCCCCCCATTGAGTAATGGACCTCGTTGATTAATGTCTGTGATTGCTGTAAATAAAATGGGACATACCATAGAAAGTTGTTTCTGATCTGTCTTTGGTTGAGTTGAATTATTTTTTTATTATTTTTAAATACAGAGATAAATCCGGCAAGTTACCATTTTCACCCAAACAAAAGGCAATGTTTGCCAACTGGGTGTGGCCAGATGACATAACAAATAACCCTACAATGATCTATACTGTGTCAAATTTCAGCATAAAGCAGGTAAGTTGCTTCTAAAATGAAATTTACACCAGCTATTCTGATAATTGCAGAATGAGTTTGGGTTCTTTTAAAGTAATGTGGGGTGCTCATTAAAACCTAGCAAGTAGGAGAACTTTGCCCTCTTCTAATACCTACATTTGATTTCACTGTGGACCATTTGACTTTGTTAGGGCTGTTAATTAATTGCAATTAATGCATGTGATTAACGGAAAACAAATTAACTAGATAAAATAGTCATGATTAATTGCACTGTTATAATAATTTTAAATTGGTATTCTATTATTAAGTATTTTTGGATGTTTTTTCTACATTCTCAAATATGTTGATTTAAATTACAACACAAAGTGTACAGTGCTCACTTTATATTATTTTGATTACAAATATTTGCACTGTAAAAATGATAAACAAAAGAAATAATATTTTTCAATTCACCTCATACAAGTCGACTCAGTCCTATTTCTTGTTCAACCAATCGCTAAGACAATCAAGTTTTGTTTACATTTACGGGAGACAATGCTGCCCACTTCTTATTTATGGATGCTGAGGAAGGGAGGAGAGGAAAGGTGACAGCCCAAAGGGGATCCTTGGCATCTGGGCTTAAACTTCAGAGACGAGGGAGGCGGAGTGAAAAGGAGACTAGGAGACAGATAGCAGGGAGTTGCCGGCGGGGCAGGGTACGTGGGGGGCAGAGGGGAGAGGTGCAGGTACAGTGTGTGGCTGCTTGGAACAGCTGCTCTCCCACAGGGCCACCAACCTGCTCCCCAAGAGGGCCTACCGTGTTCACTGCTTGCTCACTGAGTCATACAAAGAACCCCACCCCTGCTCTGTTCCCTTCCCAGTCCGGTTCCTCCCAGCAATCCCCAGCCTGGTTCCTCCTCCTGCCCCGCAATCCCAAAAATCCCATGCCCAGCTCTACCCAAGATCAGCTCCCCTCCACCCCCCCTCTTCCCAGCCTCCAGGTATCCCCCCAGCTCTATTCCTAGCCTGGCCTGCCCACCCCCCGCTTAGCTCCCCCCAGCCATCCCAAGCCTGGTTCCTCCACCCCCCACTCCCCGAAGTCCCGTGCCCAGCTCCAGCCCCCGAGCTGGTCTCCCACCTCTCTTTCCAGCCTCCTGGCATCCTCCCTTACTCTGTTCCCTGCCTTGTCTCACCCCCCACTGCCTGGCCTGGCTCCCCCTGCGCACTCACATGCAAACTTTCGCTCCTGCTGGCCCCCAGATGCCCCACCCAAGCTGGAGTCCTCAGCCAGCCAGCTGAGGAGTGAGTGGGTGGAGGGGAGGGGCCAGGGGGGTGGGTCGGGGAGAAGCCTGCTGGCCCCGCATGGAGAAGGGGCCGGAGAGGAGAGGAGAGGAGTCCACACCGCAGCCAATGAGGATGGTGCCCCAAATTTTTGGGTGCCCTACGCAACCACATATGCTGCGAATGCCTAAGGACGGCCCTGCTATGGGTGGAGAGTAGAGCCAGGAGATTGATAACAGTGTTGGCGGTGTGGGGGGGGGGGGAGGAGGGGGCGCATGGGAAACAGTTTTGCAACAGCGGCTGCAGGGGAGGGCGGGCGCAGAGCTGCTCGATTTGAAGAGTTAGTATCGCCTGGATCCAGAGCCTGCTGTCATGGGTGAAGCTGCCCCTTGGGGAGGCTAACTCCCCTGCTCCGCCCCAGGCCACGCCCCCACTCTGCCCAGGCCCCACTCTCTCCCTCCTCTCTTCCCTCTCCCTCCCCAGGGCCAGCTCCAGGCACCAGCCCAGCAAGCAGGTGCTTGGGGCAGCCCCTGGAAAGGGGCGGTACGTCCAGCTCTTCCGCGGGTCCCTCAGTCCGTGTCGGAGGGAACGACCTACAGCAGAAGAATGAAGCGGTGGCGTTAGAGTTCTCGATTGCAGCTTTTTTTTTTTGCGCGCTTGGGGCGACAAAAACTATGAAGCCGGCCCTGCCCCTCCCTTCTCGCCTCCTTCCAGCCAAATCCCTGAACCCAAATGAAGCAAATGACATTTGAAAGAAAAAACAAAAAAACAACCCACACTCTTCTGCAATTTCTTTCTAAAGAAAATGGAGCATGTTTTCCACTGCATGCCAGATGGTGAAGATTGGACATGCAGAAATGACCTAATTAAAAGCACTAAATTGGGAAATAAATGTCAGTCACACGTTTTTTGATAAACTTCAGGATATGTCAGATTTATTTGCAAAAACTTTGTAGTAAGGTCAAATCAGCTGTCTTGCTGAATATAATATTAAATATTACTGAATACATGATGCAGCTCTTCTCTGTTTTACATTTTCTTAATCAGTATTTCTAAGCTGATTTTATATTTTAAATGTATGCTTAAGCTTGTACTCTTTCCAGATTACTACATATTTATCTCATTGAAACAAAGACATTTTAAATTAATCAGTCACAGAGGTTTAGTGTGTTCATAACAATGTTCATTGCTTTTAGAAAAAGGGAACACTAATTTACTTTGTGTGATCTCCATAACAATAGACATATTTATGAAATTTCACCAACTTTAAAAAATGTTTCCAAAGATTTTAGGCATAACAAAGGAGTTTATAGCTTACTAAGGTATGGATTTTGCTAGAGGGTTCTCTTAAAACTCATTCATCAAATAGTCAGAAATAAAGAAAGGGAAACTCCTTTGTCCAGCTATCTGGAAGGAAAAGGGTGTTGTCCCTTTAAGGGCTCTCTTCAACAGGGGGTGAAGGGAGAAAGGATGGTCAGAAAGGACAGGAAGACTTTGGAAGCAAGTTTTTTGTACTATAGTAATTAAAATAAAAATATGTATTTTAGATAAGGGTGGTCTTTTGAAGGATTTATTTAAAAAAACCTATGTCAGAAGTTGCAAGCATTTAAGGCTAAAGATGAATACTCAGATTGTGCATCTAAAAATCTATGCAAGGATATTTTAGAGATGTGATTTTATAAACTTCACCAACTCCTATAGACTAACATGTTCTGAGTAAATATAACAGTAATACACAACTGTTTTTGTCAGTAAATTCAGAAACTGACAGTATATACCTGGGGGGTGGCAAATGCCTGTTAAATGGCTTCATTACCACTTTAATGGCTCTTTAACAGTTTCAATGTTGTGCTAATAGGTCTGGCAGGCTGGAAGACTCTCACTTTTAAATTACTAGATCCCCTCAGGAGGAAGACTCATCAAGCTGGAGCAGCCAGCTGTGGGAGCCTGCAAGAAGGGTCAGAACAGGGATAGGAAGAGACAGAGGGATGGACACAAAGACCCAAGGTGTCCCAAATTTTCAGGTGTCCTGACTCAGTCCACTCTCGACTGTCACGCGAGCCAACAAAGTATCCACAGGGGTCTCCGGAGTAGAGGTGGGGTCGCCACCGAATATCGTGTCCAGCTCTTTGTAGAACTGGTAGCTCGTGGGCTCAGCACCGGAGCAGCAGTTTGCCTTCCGTGCTTTGTGGTAGGCGTTCCGCAGCTCCTTCATGTTTACCCTACTCTGCAATGTATCCCAGTCATGGCCCCTATCTGTCATGCATCATGAAATCTGTACGTAGGTATCATAATTCCTATGGCTGGAACGCAGCTGGGACTGGACAACCTCCTCTCCCCAAATGCCGATGAGGTCCAGCAGCTCGGCATTGCTCCAAGTGAGGGGATCACCTGGTACGTGGAGCAGGAATGTCCACCTGGAAAGATGCGCTGAGAACACTGCACACGTCACCGAGCAAACAGGAAGGGGACTTTCAAATTTGCAAAGGAATGTCGGGGGTGGGGCTGAAGGTTGGTCACCTGAGGGCAGGGCAGTAGAGTTCAAACTGATAACCAGAGAGATGAGAACAGGCATTGTGGGACAGAGGCCAATCGCAGCACTGTAATCACCACGGTGTCTACAGGAGTGCCATGAATTTTAATTCGAATGCTCATCTGAAAATTTATACCAGAAATACATTGTTACTTGTTATTCTTTATTTACATGTACACAAGCATGAAGTGGGCATAAAACACTACTAAACTGGATTTCCTCACTAGTAGGAGTAGCATTTTACAGTCTCTTTGCAAAGATGTAAGTGACTACTCTGGGGTGCAAAGATCTCTGCGATCCTTCCTATGGCCTGTGGGCAAATAGACAGGAGCATGGACAGGCAAATGAGGATGAATCTGACTAGTTGATCATTCAAATGTGTGTTTTTATACAGCACAGGGGTTTGGAAGGGTAGACCTATGTGTAACTGTATGGAACTAGAGCAGTGGTGGGCAACCTGCAGCCCATCAGGGAAATCCGCTGGTGGGCCATGAGACAGTTTGTTTACATTGACCGTCCGCAGCTCCCAGTGACCACAGTTCACTATTCCCGGCCAATGGGAGCTGCAGGAAGCCACGGGCTGTAGGGATGTCAAGGGTCAGTCCAATGGTCCTAGGACTGACCCACCCTATTCAACTTTTTCATAAATGATCTGCAGAAAGGGGTAAAAAGTGAGCTGGCAAAGTTTGCAGATGATACTAAACTGCTCAAGATAGTTAAGACCAAAGCAGACTCTGAAGAACTTCAAAAAGATCTCGCAAAACTAAATGATTGGGCAACAAAATGGCAAATGAAATTTAATGTGGATAAAGGTAAAGTAATGCACATTGGGAAAAATGACCCTAACTTATACATACAAGATGATGGGGGCTAATTTAGCTACAACTAATGAGGAAAAAGATCTTGGAGTCATCATGGATAGTTCTCTGAAGACATCCACATAGTGTGCAGCAGCAGTCAAAAAAGCAAACAGAATACTGGGAATTGTTAGAAAGGGGATAGAGAATAAGACAGAGAATATCTTATTGCCCTTACATAAATCCATGGTACGCCCACATCTTGAATACTGTGTACAGATGTGGTCTCCTCATCTCAAAAAAGATATACTGGCATTAAACACGGTTCAGAGAAGGGCAAATAAAATTATTATGGGTTTGGAAGAGGTCCCATATGAGGAGAGATTAAAGAGGCTAGGACTTTTCAGCTTGGAAAAGAGGAGACTAAGGGGGGATATGATAGAGGTATACAAAATCATGAGTGATGTGCAGAAAGTGAATAAGGAAAAGTTATTTACTTGTTCCCATAATATAAGAACGAGGGGCGACAAATGAAATTAGTGGGCAGCAGGTTTAAAACAAATAAAAGGAAGTTGTTCTTCATACAGCACACAGTCAACTTGTGGAACTCCTTGCCTGAGGAGGTTATGAAGGCTAGGACTATAACCGTGTTTAAAAGAGAACTGGATAAATTCATGGAGGTTAAGTCCATTAATGGCTATTAGCCAGGATGGGTAAGGAATGGTGTCCCTAGCCTCTGTTTGTCAGAGGGTGGAGATGGATGGCAGGAGAGAGATCACTTGATTATTACCTGTTAGATTCACTCCCTCTGGGGCACCTGGCATTGGCCTCTGTCGGTAGACCGGATACTGGGCTGGATGGACCTTTGGTCTGAGCCATTATGGCCATTCTTATGTTTTAATGTTCTTATGACGTGCTGGCCTCCATTTCCTGCGGCTCCCATTGGCCGGGAACAGTGAACCGCGGCCACTGGGAGCTGCAGGCGGCCATGCCTGCGGATGTCCAATGTAAACAAACTGTCTCGCAGCCCACCAGCAGATTACCATAAGAGGCTGCAGGTTGCCCACCACTGGACTAGAGGATGCCAGTGTGCAGTTTGCATGGTGTAAGTTTCCTCATAGTTGCCACTGCATTTTGATTGCCACTTGCAATAGTCCCCTGCTGCCTGTTCTTGCCTATTTCCTCAGCAGAGCTCAACCAGGCCAAATCATGTGGCGCTTTTGTGATGTAGAGAAATGCCTATCCCCACAACAACTAATCTAAGCAAAGTGAAATCTGAACTCAGGACTTTTAAAGTGAAAGGTTAGTGCCCTAATATTACCTTAATGAAAGTTTTGAACCTGCACAGACTAACAATAATATCAACCATTTAAGCAATGAAAATCCTCAGTTGTAGGATCAAGTAAAGATAAGCTTTAAGAAACTTCCCTGTTTGCCTATAGCTGGGCTTGCTAAAGAGAAAAGAATACCACAGGAAGCTAGATATACAAATGAAGCCATACACGTTGCTTTGAAATTTTAGAGATGTGTCTCCATCTTTGCCAATTTTTAAATAAAATGATGAGGAAAGTTTAAACTGTATAGAATAATAAAACAAACACACACTTACCTGGTTTTGAATCACCACATTTTTTCTGATATTGCTACAGATGTGTTTTTGAGTCCTTCAAATGTATCCACATAGTAATATTTGTCTTCTGATCCAGCCATGGCCAAAAGCTCATCCGGTTTTGCTCCTTTTATCCCAACAGCATAGATAATAATTCCATTGTCTCTTAATCTCTTGGCTGTGTCATTGAGCTCTGCTGCATCACGGGACTCACCGTCTGTTATCACTATAAGAATCTGTGGAACTCCCTTGCTTTTGCGGCCGCCATGCTCCTGAGCAAACAGAGCTTCCGAATAGCCAACTGCCTTGGCTGTGAACGTTGAACCTCCTATAGTTCTATCATTCTGGATAGCCTCAACAATCTCGGATTTTGTTGTGAACGTATTAAGGTAGAAAAACGTTTCCGGTTCATCAGAATATTTTACAGCTCCAAACTGAACTCTATCTGGAGCAACATCAGATTTTTTCACCAAATCAATCATGAAGTCTTGCATGGCCTGGTACTGTAAGGGACTTATGCTCCCAGATCCATCTATCACAAACACAACATCTAATCTTTCTATCCTTTTGCATTCTGTAAAAGAACAAATGACAAAACAAAAAACCCAAACAGGTAAGTAAGTACAGACTCTTACTGAATCTTTCTTACTAGCCCCCTTGTATTGAAGCCAAGCTTGTGAATTTGGATCACTTTTTGGAGGCAGTAACACAACTGAACAGCCTATGTTACGCATGTTTTGGGAAAATCCATCAGTTCACAACAGACGAGCCTAACCACTAATCCTATAATAACAGAGTTTCAACTTAATCTAAGACCCGGGGGGGGGGGGGGAAGAAATGAATAGTAACACATCAGATGGCATCAGGCTAGGTGATGATAATGGCCTCTTTCGGCCTTAAAAAAAAAAACCACTATGAATCTGTGTTCTATTAGAATACAAGCACCAATTAAAAGTTTTTGTTTTCCCCCCAAAACATATTTTAAGATTTTCATTTTTGGAGTTAAGTCAAATTTCTGTGACCCTTGTTCTACAGAGTCACCATACACACAGTTTTATGTACTGTTTACTAAGGGAAATGAGCCAAATTCTGCTGCCACTTGCATCTATGCAACCACACTGAAATGCATGGAGACCCACCAGGCATCAATGATAGCAGAATTTATTTTGTGCTTTGGATCTATCGCAATTTTTTCTTCTTTGTTTAAGAAAGATGTTCAATTTGGAGACTGAAGCCTTGCCATCCCTGCACAGCCCCCAAGGCCCTATGTTGCAGTGACCAAAAAGGGCTGAATGGGACTTTTGTGAAACCCATTAAAACTCCTCCTAAACTAAAGGTCAGCATTTATGACGAGGAGATGGAAAGTCAATACCCGATTAACAGTTTAGTAAGGAGGACATTGTAGCTCCTAAACAAGGAACAAAATACTTACATTTCAGGGCATAACACAGTGGGAGGTTTGATTGGTTCTCACTTTCCAACAGCAAAAATGTGTTTTCTGCAATTGGATAAGTGAGTGCAAAAAGAGACCCAGAACTCAGTCCCGTAAGCCTCTGAAATGGAACATGCAATGTGCAAAGAGGAGAGAGATTCCTTGTGCTCTCCCCAGCCCCATTGCACAACCATGTATGGGGCCAGGTATGACCTGGCCCTGGGCTATTCCATTTTTCAGGTTCTTATGCATCAGCAAGCTGTGCCATGTTTGGATAGCAGCCTCTGCAGGGAAGTGTTAGAATGATAACCATCTGTGCAATTTTATTCTATATAGGTTCTTATACTGCAATCATCACCTTCATATACCTGTGTGCCTTCCAGCCATGTATTAAGCAGTGTGTTTTTTCTCTCATCTTCTCCCCAGGGGCAAAAAAGTGTGTTTAGTGAGTTGTTTTGAATGTCACCTCCACTCCCCATATATTGATGTTAAAGAAGGCAAGGTCAAAGGAAAACACCTTGCATTTGGAATGGAAGGTGGAGAGGTTTGGGACAGTCCTTAGTTCCTATGAGAGTTTATTTCACACAGTCCTGGACTGGGCCCCCCAAAAATGAGTAGTCTGTGGTACTCACTACCATTTTCATCTGTCTGTACACAGTTTTATGCCTCTTTTGCACCTATTTAAATGCTTCTGTCAACACATTTTCTTAAAAGCCTTGGCTACATTGGGCTTGAACCACATCTGGAACCCAAACTGAAACTTAGAGAGAGAGAGAGAGAGAGAGAGAGAGAGAGTGTGTCGTCCACACACCTATC